TTGAATAAATTGTGACTGTGAGTAAACCTCAAAGTTACCTTCAAATTCAATCAAACCCCTGAAAAAATATACCATATATATGATGTTAGATTTATAAGCCATGTGTTACTATAATAATGATATCAAAGTAACCAAACACGAAATTAAATACTCAAACATTTTAGCGATATTCAATGCTTATAGTTATACATACCCGTTGCACCATTCCCTCCGCACGCATTCGTCATACGTTTCAGTACTATCTCAGCTCCGTGAGATCAGAGAAGCGACTCATAGACCAACATTAACAAGCTGGGTAATACTTAATGCATTATGAAGTCAGACTTCAGAGTCCATTCACGAGTATTTTATTAAAGAAATATTTGTATTCTTAGTCTTATGTCATCGCTATAATTATATAAGGGATGATCGTAAAGTAAATTTAGAAGATTGAATCCACAAGGTGCCTGCTCCGATAAGGTTCGGAAGTTATTCCAACGCTTCTCAGCAAGGAACATAAGGAAATCAGGCGTCATCGCTCTTTCTGTGATTTCCTTCAGCAATATCTTCGTTGAGTATGGTCTTATCACTCTGCTGCCTACTATTTAGTTCCGATATCTGTGGCGCAGGAGTGGAACCCCGAGCATTATGCCAAACCTCTCAAGAGGACCTTGCGAAGTTGTCCAATTTGTACTTCTACACAAATTGTCGCAGTCGGTTGGAGCATTAATTTTTTTTTCTTAAAGGGGCCCTAACAGTGAATGTTTGGTACATTGAGCGTTTTATTTTATTACGCCTATTGGTTTCGCTTTGTCTCCATGATGTGTTTTTTTTGTTGTGCGAGGTCCGTATTTTACATTAGTAACATCAGTGGTTATAAAATGGTGTCGAGCTGGTCCAACACTTTAATGTGGCTAATGATGCCAGAAAGCTCTCAAACTGATATTCGTTCCACGGCTATTGGGTTCATTAAAGGATGGGGTAGATGTGGGAGGTTTGTTAGGCGTGGGTTGTGTCTCTTGTTGTTTTTTATACAAAACATTCGCTCTGTTAGGACTTTACAAGGCTGTTGCTCTATTGGGTTTATTAGCTCGTTGGTTTCGATAGGGAGTCGAAAGGAGAAGAAATGAAAGAAACTTGAATTAGAATCGAGACTTACGTTATGTTCTACAAGGATACAAGGATACAAGGAAACAAGGCTACAAACGTGATAATTATTTTATTGAATGACAATAGTATAATTCTGAAATAATTTAAGGTTACACAATTTAGTTATATAACAAATGTGTAGGGTAAATAGAAATGTTTTATAATACTATTTTTGAGGTCCTATGCATTAGGCATTGGCCAGTATTTGAGTAGAAATTGGGCTTTATAGTAGGCTGTAAAATTTTTCGTTCACAGAGAGAATTGAATGGTTGCTCTTGCTGTGGCAGTAATTGTAGGGTTCTAGTGTTTTATTGGGATAGCAAACGGCTAGGCAGTAATATTTTTGGGATGGAAGTTAAAATTTTCTCTAACTGAGGAGTTAGATGTAACAGTCAGTTAGAACTTGAATTTGTCTCAGTAGGCCCTTAAGCCACTTAGCTGAAAAGAGAAAAAGTGCACCTCGATGTTTCTTGGTATAGGGGGGTTTGTACGGCCCCTCTCAATGTAAAGTTGTGCAGCTAATTCGATTATAATTGTACATCGTTTTGTACAGTATCATGTACTATGTAGTACAAGTTGGACTAGGGAGGTCCAGGTCATGCACGATAAACATAAACTTGCTAAGATTTTCAAAATTGTTTACCACTGTTTTCTAAAAAGTGTAGTGTGAGATTTTTCAAACACCAAATTTGTTATTACCTTTTGGAATGATAAATGTGTTTTGCTAGTTGCCTATTATTGACGGCGGATTTTGGAGATGGAGATTCTATAAATGTTTGCTCTAACCAGAGCCCTTCTCGTTGCAGTTAGCTCGCGATAACATGGCTCGACCGGAAACAAGCACGTAGCAGTACGGTATGCCGTATACACATGGCTAGTGAAATAAAAATTCACTAAATGTCCACAATAATACTAAATGTCCCAATATTCATAAAATGTTTTGTTGCTGCTGATAAGTAATCTGATAAGCTGATAACGCTGCGGCATGACCTGCTTTTAGCCCAGTCTTGTTAACCAGTTTACATCAACACCTATTTTACACCCTCTAACCATGTTTCTGAGCTAGTTCGCGTCCTAACTAACTAAGCTTGTTCCTCGAGTCCTCGGGAGTCAGCCCTACTTAGTTCGAGTCCCACGAGCAGAGGACACATCTGAAAAGGGGTGGCTGGGCAGTGTGCCCCCAACACTGCCGAGATCAAAAACATGCTCGGCAAACCCTCAAGCTGAAGGTAAGATAAAACGTCCGAAATTCACAGTACGCAGACAGAGGTTTGTTGGTTGTTGGGTACCTACTTTTACGCAGAACTTGCTCGAGTATGCCGTCACATCACGGACCAACTTTATCGTGAATCTTTAAGTGCGGACTCTGTAAATCTACAACAAAACGCTACGAAAAACCATAACATGACAGCAAAGTAAATTTGAATTAGATACTATGATATCCTTATAGAAATCCAACTGATAGGCTGACTATACAGGTAAACTATCCTCGATTTTTGCATGCTGCTGGAAAAAGCCGAACAGGTGAACGCTTGACGAATACAAGGGGGGGGGGGGTGATAAGGAGCTCTAGTTCTCTCGTCGCTAGGAACTTCCTCCCAACATACCTCGGATCCCTCATCTTCGTCACGGTTCGCCAGCCGGAACACGAGGAAAGTACTAGAAGCTACTCCGAGTAGATGTTTGCGATCAAAGTTTGAGTTGTGAAACGCATATGTTGTGTGGACTGGACTTTCACGCATAGGATCACGTGACGTCTCTACTTCGGCTCCAGTAAATACAGTTACGCAGTATTACCCATCGTGCTAAGGCTTACCACATTGATCACGCTGATAATAAGATACTAGACTGTATAGTGACGAACTAGCCGATCCTCTGCAATAGGGATAACGTTACTTGCATGGTCACTAGTTTACAGGACAGGCGCGGATCCTATCCCGTTTCACTCTGATAATGAAACAGCTTATACTGGTGAAATATCACTGCCAGCTTTGGGGCCACTCGCACCTTAACTTTCGTAACTAGTCACTGATTGAAGCGACGTGAACACGAACTAAGAATGCACAGTGTACGCAATGACACAGAGTTCAGTTTTTACTGGGAGCATGCGATACACCGAAACTGGCGTCACCTCGTGTCGTGTGTCAGTGACTTTAGACGCATAGCACGCCCAGCGCACGCACCTTCTAAATCCATGACCGTCAATAGCCCATCGACCCCCTGAGCCTCCAAACAGACTGTCCTATACTTACTGACTCTATGATAGTAACACCTCATATCTTTCCCCTCTATCTTTCGAGTCATAAAGCGTGACATGTTAACAACTCTCGCGGACTTTATGAAGTTGAAAATTTTTTTTGAATAACTGCGATTTATTGGATTATATCTTCCCGGTATTAATGATTTGTCGAGATATGACCATAGAAGTATACACTTTCCGTGAAATTAGGGACAATTTTAACTATTGTTTTTGTAGTATCCAAAAACAGTGTTTGTTTTCATATTCCCTTTTAGAACGAGATTTGCTTGGTTAACTAAGGAGGTTGGATGTTGTTTAACCGATGCATGTTTGACTTTAGTCTGATCGGAAAATCGTAACTTATGTTTCTTCGATCCACCATATTTGTAGTGTGTATTTAACAAAGGTGTTGAGATTTTAGATAGATCTGGAAATGGGATTCACATTTATCAGCTGGCCAAGAGTGAGAATAGCGTACTGTCTGTGACCGGTGTTCAAAAATCTCTTTGCGAAGCGAGAAAAAGTTCGAAAGCACTGGCCATAGGCGGGAGTTTGTCTCGCTCTCCCCGCTTGCTGGTAATAACGGTTAAATAAAACTCACCAAAGCCGTACCCCAGCTAATATTATACTTGCCGCGCCACAATTTTCACAAAATTGTTTACAAAATCTTTAAGGGATTATAGCTTACATCTTTATGGTGATAATGAAACCCTCGATAAAAATATATAGTCATGCCGTGACTCTTATCAGCTTATCGTAAGGTTCGAGAATCTTGCCCGAGTTTTTTAAAACACTTTAGAATAGTTCTGAAATCAGGACGCTATGTTAATATTGTAAATATTGTAGACTAGTTACGATTCTATCTTTCACACGAGACAGAAAAAGTGTATAGTTCTTGATAGGTAGGTATAACAAGTTTTCTTTTTCATTTTCGCTTTCAGCACAAAGTTTATTCTCATTCTTCACAGCACACACATTAGCATTTTATACATTTTTAGATGTACAAGCTATTTATACAACCATAGATACACTCGTATCTATTTAATATCATACTTAATTATCCACAGATATCTGGTATTCTTCACATCTTGAACAATGGTTGACCTAGTTTAAAAACATGTCTCAGTTGTTCGGGTGGTCTTTTGCTCCATAGAAACTTTTCATTTGTCCTGTATGTGACCAAACCAGTTCATAAAAAATGCCTCAAGATATCTGGTTGTATTACATGTGTCTCAACCTAATACCTGGCTTATAGAGTAACCTTCATTCGACTTAAATGATTATTACAATACAATAACCCCAATTTTAAACCCCTATAGTTCGTTCTCACGATACTGAATCAATTAGGCGAACTTACTGTCTGAAATAGATTCAGCGAAATCGATCTCAACAATTGTATATCTGGTATTGGTTAGCCTGTAAGTCCCAACACCCGGATAATTCTCAAGACCCCTAGCCCAATCGCGATTGAAGATACTTTCGTTATACGTTAGATCATCGTGAGAATATCTCAAATTTTAGAGGAAGGGAAATAGAAACTTTCTCCAAAATTTGACCTCATCTGCCTTAATGAAACCAACTGTCTAAAATTTCTATCTTCTAATGGTCTTAACGACATTGAAATCGAACAGTTTTACGAGCCCTTTATCAAAGAACCTGCACCGTAAATCTGGAAATGGAGGTGGTCTGCGCCTATGTTAACAACGCGTTTGTGAATACGATTAAAATACAGGATCTCGAACTCAATCTGATGTCAGAAGAAGTTACTTGGGGGAATTTCATTGCTTAAAATCAACAATTTTAATAACGGAAATAAGATCAAAAATCACGTAAATTTCTACCGGCTCGCTTTCCACAAGCCCATAAAAATTCTTGAAAGTTTGAAAACGTGCCAGGGGTCTTGGATAGACATCCAGAAAGCAGATAGTCTTCCTGGGTGATGCAAATATTGATATTTTAAAATACGATACCGACGCTTACAGCCAGGATCTTAAAGCGCTTACTAGAAATAAGGGGTTTGCCCAGACTGTCTCCATGCCTAGCGGGTAAACTGACCACAGTGCAAACGCTTATTGATTCAGTGTATACTTAATCACGTGACAACGTTATGAGTTGTACTGTCGTGACGTTGGATATGTTAGATCATCTCGCGGTTAGCACGACATTAGGTTAGGAGGCACACCTAGTTTGAACGAGCGATTCGTAGTCAACGGTGTAATAGAACAACAAACACTAGCTTGAAATTAGAGGCCCGTTGTATTTTTAACGGAGCTAATCATGCTTAAATTCAAGAGCTTATTGTACGTGACGGACTGGGTGCTGCTACCTCTCAACGTGCGCTGATGAACAATTCAATTCCATCTTTCAACGTACATGAACATCCAATACTGCATAATAACCCCCCTGAAGCGCGACAGTTCGGAAGAAAATTCGAAAGAGCTGACCCAAAGCCTTGGATTACCCTGGCTTGAGGCGGCAAGCAACCGCAAGAAGTTATATTTTTTGAAAAAAACTATAATCCATCACAAATAAAAACTGCAACGCGTATGATATAAAAGAAAAAGTTTTGTCACAAACATGTGATCTAGCCAAAGAATAGTACTTTAAAAAAAATGGTGGGACAAATACCAAAAACTGTCTAAAAGTCAATGGAAAATTATCTATGGCCTCCTGAACCGTAACAGAAAAAGTTCGGACACACCCGTCTGAAGGACGACGATGGCACGTTATAGCTCGATCTGGCAGTCGCTGTGAAAATTATACTCGTAAAGGGACCATGGAGAGCTGGTCCTATGAGGGGGAGGTGAGATATCTTCTCTCCGAACAGTTTGAGGTTATCTGCTGTGAAGAGGATCACAACGCACACCATCTGGGATAGAGGGTGATTAGACTTACTAGAGAGTGGATGCTCTACTTTACTACGTAGTACGTCGTGATAATATAGAATAATTTGCACATCATATTCAACTTGTATACGTCTTGCCTACCCTATGATAGGATGATATTTTCAAAGATATTTTCAAGGATATTTTCACGAATATTTCAATGAACCCCGTTCCATACTATGTATCAGACTTTTCAAGATAAGGCGTGTCGAATTTCTAAAAAACTAATAAAATCAGATTGTGTTCTTAATTGTATTCCTTTCCAAGAAAATTTTCCCTGAAAAGTTGAAATATAACAGTGAGCAGCTATGGCCTATGTATATATAAATACCTGGAGGTGTACTTTGAAGACTGATTTGCCGAGAAGCACAGCAGGGAAGAATGTTAGGAATGGAATAAGCATGTAACCACAGGTTATGCCAGCCAAGTCGAACAGTGGGTTAGGTACCTGGTAACAGTGGGTTAGGTACCTGGTAACAGTGGGTTAGGTACCTGGTAACAGGTAACAGTGGGTTAGGTACCTGGTAACAGGTAACAGTGTGTTAGGTACCTGGTAACAGTGGGTTAGGTACCTGGTAACAGTGGGTTAGGTACCTGGTAACAGTGGGTTAGGTACCTGGTAACAGGTAACAGTGTGTTAGGTACCTGGTAACAGTGGGTTAGGTACCTGGTAACAGTGGGTTAGGTACCTGGTAACAGGTAACAGTGGGTTAGGTACCTGGTAACAGGTAACAGTGTGTTAGGTACCTGGTAACAGTGGGTTAGGTACCTGGTAACAGTGGGTTAGGTACCTGGTAACAGTGGGTTAGGTACCTGGTAACAGGTAACAGTGGGTTAGGTACCTGGTAACCGGTAACAGTGTGTTAGGTACCTGGTAACAGTGGGTTAGGTACCTGGTAACAGTGGGTTAGGTACCTGGTAACAGGTAACAGTGTGTTAGGTACCTGGTAACAGGTAACAGTGGGTTAGGTACCTGGTACCTGGTAACAGTGGGTTAGGTACCTGGTAACAGTGGGTTAGGTACCTGGTAACAGTGTGTTAGGTACCTGGTAACAGGTAACAGTGGGTTAGGTACCTGGTAACAGGTAACAGTGGGTTAGGTACCTGGTAACAGTGGGTTAGGTACCTGGTAACAGTGGGTTAGGTACCTGGTAACAGTGGGTTTCGGTACCTGGTATCAGGTAACAGTGGGTTAGGCACCTGGTAACAGTGGGTTAGGTACCTGGTAACAGTGTGTTAGGTACCTGG